AATGCTTGACTGTGCTCTAGTATGAGCTCACTTAGTCCTTGAATGAATAAGCCTTGTGAAAATGTTTTCCATAATTGGTAGCATAGGGTTCTGATAGTTACAAGCCAAGTTTGGATCAACTGAGCTATGGCTTCTAAGAGTTAATTATGCATCATTCAACTCATTTCCTACAGAAGAAAGTTTTGCATAATAGTAACTTTTAAATATAACCTATTTTGTGTGATCCTTCTCCAAGAAGTAATTCAACAGTAATTCAAGTATTTATGGAACATCTACTGTATGTAAGGCACTACATAGACAAAGATGAAAAAGCCACATTTTATGCTCACCAGAATTCATAAGCTATTAGACCAGCGTTGAGCCTGAACTACTTAATGTACTATTCGTTTCAAAATGCAGTCAAATTTTCCAAGAATTTAATGACTTACTGAGAGCACCACCTATTGACAAAGTCATTCTTTCTTTAATGATTAGAACTGCTACATTCATCATATACTTTATAGACAGTCAGATTTTTATTTTGATCTTTTATTTATTCTATAGTCTAGCCTCTCAGCATCACATGCTTCAAAATCTTTATGGTTTTATACTTTTTCAATGTCCAGCAGTTACAATATTCTTCTTTCCTAAAAAAAACCCTACTTATTATTTAAAACTATTTATTCCTCTAGAGCAGTAGTTTTCAAACTGTGTATGGCAGAGCCTTTTGATTCCAAAGAAGTGCCAGCTTTGGTGAAGAGTAGAGACTTACATTATGAAGGGAGGGCAAACATGAGGGCTCTGGGTTCCCCTCTACCCTTTCTTCAAGCAGAACAGTATAGCTTCTGTCAGTTTCATACACCAGTAACAAACAATTAAAAAACCTTAACTTTCAGAAAATGACATAATTTGCACTGTAAATACACTGAAGTTTTTAGGTAAAAAATCTATTGAACTATTAAACCAGACTTATACGTAGAAAATCATAAAAATTTACTGAATAGCATTAAGGGAAACTTAAGTAAACAGACAGATATTTATAGTCATCTTGGAACACTTGATATTATCAATATGTCAATCACCCCTTGCCCTTAACACCTATACTGAACTATAGGTTTAATGAAATTGTGACCTAAATCCAATAGGCTTTTTGCATGAAACTTGTCAAGTTGATTTTAATATTTATGTGGAAGACAAAAGGGGCAGGAATGGCCAAGATGCTTCTGAAGAAGAATAAGGAAGACAGATTAGTTCTCTCTATATTAAGATTTAGTATAAAGCTACAGTAATTAACACAGGTTTTTGGCAAGACATAAGCAAATTAACCAGTACAACAGGTAAAGCGCATAGAAACAGACCTGGCATATAGAAGTTTAATATATGATAAAGGTGATATGGCAGATTAGTGGAGAAATGGAACTGGGACAACTAGCTAGCCACATGGAGAAAAAAAATTGTATTCCTACCTCACTCCATACACAAAACTTTCAGTTTTACATAAATAACTTAAACATCAAAAGCAAAAATGTTATACTTTTTTTTGAGTTGGAGTTCTCACTCTGTTGTCCAGGCTGGAGTACAACAGCTTACTCATGGTTCATTGCAGCCTCAACCTCCTGGGCTCAGGTGATCCTTTCACCTCAGCCTCTATAGTATCTGGGACTACAGGCGTAAGCCACCATGCCCAGCTAATGTTTTGATTTTTTTGGACAGACAAGGTCTTGCTATGTTGCCCAAGCTGGTCTTCAACTCCTGAGCTCAAGCAATCCTCCCACTTCGGCCTACAAAATGCTGGGATTACAAGGGTGAGCCAACCATGCCTGGCCAAAAAATTTTATATTTTTAAATGAAACTATAGATACGTATTTATCCTGACTTAGAGTACAAGAGTATTTTTAAAATGATAATCATCCAGCCCAGGCAATCTGGTGAGACTTCGTCTCTATAAAAAATAAAATTAGGCAGGCGCGATAGCACACGCCTGTAGTTCTGGCTATTTGGAAGGCTGAGGCGGAAGTATCGCCGGAGCCCAGCAGGTTAATGCTGGGGTGGCTGTGAGCGTGCCACTGTATTCCAGCCTGGGCGATGGAGTGAGACTCCAACTCAAAATAAAGAAACAAACAAACAAATAACATAAAATGATAATCATAAAATAGATTTTTAGAAATTCTACTATATCATAATTAAGAACTTCTATTCATTAAGACTTCTTCATGTGAAAAGGCAAGGTACAAATTGGTAGATATTTCCAACATATCAACTAATAAAGGAACAATGTCAAGCATACATAAAGAATGCCTGCAAATAAACAATAAGACAAGCTAATGGAAAAACAGGCACAAAATATAAATATACATATCACAGGCCAAGAAACATATATGGTTCATATATATATGAAGAGATGCTTAAGTTCACTTGTATTTAGAAAACTACAAATCAAGACCATAGTGAGATAAAATTTAAATAAATTTTGGCAAATACACATCAAATAGTATAAAATTTACTATTTTGGGCATTTTAAAGCATACAGTTCAGTGATATTAAGTACATTCACAATGTTGTACAATGATCATCACTATCGAGTTACAGAACTTTTTCATTATCCTGAGAGTAAGCCCCATATCTATTAAGCATTCACTCTCCATTCCAACTTTCCCTCAGCCCCTAGCAACCATATATCTGCTTTCTGTCTCCATGTATTTGCCTGTTCTGAATATTTCGTATAATAGAATCATATAATATGTGACTTTTTGTGTCTACCTTCTTTCACTTAGCATAGTGTTTTAAAGGTTCATCCATGCAGTAGCATGTACCCTACTTCATTCCTCTTTATAGTTGAATAATATTCCATTGCATAGATATACCACATTTGTTTATTCATTCATCAGATGATGGACTGTTGGATTGTTTCCACCTTTTGGCTATTGTGAGTTGTGCTGCTATAAACATTAGTGAGATAACACTTTACGTTCATTTGGTAAAAATTAAGACAACAGAAAATACCAAGTATTGAAGAGATCTTTTTAAGAGTATGTTGCTGATGGAAATGTAAATTTGTTTAATCATGTTGAAAAATTACTTGGCATTATCTTGTGAAATTGAAAATTTACATCCTGTATGATCCCAGGTATATACTCTCACTCCCAGGTATATACTTTAGCATATAGGGACCAGGAGACAAGAGAGTTAATAGCAGTACTGTGCCTAAGAGCAAAACCTTAAATCACTCAAGTGTGTATCAATAGCCATTTCTTTCAAGGAGTTCTGCTCTAAAGTGAAGGAAAGAAATAGACAGTAGTGGGGGCTGAGAATTTTTTAAGATGGGAGGAAACATAGCACACCTGTATGCTGAAGCATTGATTCAGTGGGAAAGCAAAAAATAAAATAGTAAGAATTGTTGGAGAACCTAATTTCTCAGACACTTAGCCACAGTTTTTCTCCCAGTTCTGGAAAGTGTTGTGCATATACACACATTTTAAGTTGTGTATATACATACATTTTAAGTTGTGTATATACATACATTTTAAGTTTTACCTATTCTTTACTTGCCATTCTTAAACTGCTGATCAAATAGAGCACATCAACTGAATACTCAAAGAATACTTGTTTCACTTTTTTGTACCCCCTATACAGAATTCAACTGGTCCACCTCCATCATATCACCACAGAAATTAGGTTCAACTTAATACAGACATTCATTCATAATGATAGTTACATGCAACAACATGGATAAATCTTAGTAACAAAATGTGGAATGCAAAAGACAAGTTAAAGAAGGCTACATGCAGTATTATGTCCTTTTTAGAATGTTTGAATATAAGCAAAACTGAACAATATGTTACTTAGATGTACTATAGATGTGATAACACCAATTCACAAGTAGAAAATTTAGGACAACGATTACCTCTGGGAGGAAGCCATGAGGACAAGAAGAAAAGGAGCACACAGATCTAAATTACTGGTGATCTTTTAATTCAGTGGTTCTTAAATTTTAATGTACATCAGAATCACCCACAGAGCGCCTTAAAACCTAAATTGTTGGGCTCCACTCCCAGAGTTTCTGATTCAATAGGTGGGTCATGAGGTCTAAGAATATACATTTTTAACAAAGTTCCAGCGCATTTCTGGAGACCACACTTTGAGACTACTTCTAGTTCTTAAGTTGGGTTATGGGTTCACAGGTGCTCCATTCCATTTTATCACTAAATGTATATACTATTTAAATTTTTTAAAAAAGTAATCGGTAGATTAAAAAAAAATGAGTGTGTTAGGAGCCAGAGACTGATATTAACCCAATTCTGGGCTACTGAGGTCTGCCTCCACACCCCTCAAAAAATCTAGGGTCTCATTACCAAAAGCAAACTTGAAGAAACACTGTTCTATTTTCAAAGAAAATTAACTACTTTTGAGAAATAAATTTGGAAATTTATCCTTCCTTATGTGCACAGTGACAGCATATTGCATGCCACCTTCCTGGATCTCAATAACCTTTGGCAAGATCTTGGCAGATAACAAATCTACCTCTTGTTGATTCAATAAAAATTGTGTTTAGAGAAAAGATTTCCTTTACTTTCTCAGCTCTTATCCTTCTCTCAAGTGCTCTAGCTAATTAAATATTTTTCTTCCTCTCTTCCTTTTGTCTAGATTTATTTAGGCTCTGAGATAAAATGTAGGTGACATTTCAGATGTTGACAAGGGCATTCACAGGGTCCACAGGGTTCTGCAATGTGCCAGACACTGACGGGCTTTTGAGAAATGCCTGAATATATCACTCTTGCCTACAAGCAGCTCAGCCTAGAGAGGGAAACAGGTCCATACATATAAAATTACAACCCAAAGCAGGAAGCAGGCTGTTATGCAAAAGCACAGATTTATCTTCCTTAAGCTATCCCAAGTCCAGTTCTCCTAAGCTGTTCCTTGCAAGCTGTCGCCCGAGGAGACCCGGCGACCCGGGGGCTAATCCGCTGAGGGTGGGGCGGGGCTGTACGCAGGGGCGGTGCTAGGGGCCGGATTTCATTGGCTTTCCAACCGGAAGCGGCGGTGTGACCCGATTGCGCATGCGCCCTTCACACGTGTTGCCGTAGTGCCCCTTCCACCTTCGGGCCGGCGCGCACCATGCTGCGAGCTTCCGTCCTTCGGTTGCTAGGACGCGCAGGGGCCAGTAGGGTCTCCCTCCTGGAAGACTCTGGTCCACGCCACTACTGCTCGGGCTCTCTCCGTGCTCGCGACGATGCTTGCGACGCGCGTGCCTATCTCACGACACCTATTTTCTACGTGAACGCTGCGCCACACATCGGGCACCTGTACTCGGCGCTGCTGGCTGATGCCCTGTGCCGCCACCGCCGCCTCATAGTTCCCTGCGCCGCCGCCACGCGATTCTCCACCGGCACCGACGAGCATGGTCTGAAGATTCAGCAGGCGGCAGCTACTGCGGGCCTGGCCCCTACCGAGCTGTGCGACCGAGTGTCTTCCCAGTTCCAGCAGCTTTTCCGGGAGGCGGGTATCTCCTCCACTGATTTCATCCGCACCACGGAAGTCCGGCACCAGATTGCTGTGCAGCATTTCTGGGGGGTGCTTAAGACCCGGGGTCTGCTCTATAAGGGGCTCTACGAAGGTTGGTATTGCGCCTCAGACGAGTGTTTCCTGCCTGAAGCCAAGGTCACTCGGCAGCCGGGCTCATCGGGGGATTCGTGTCCTGTATCTCTGGAGAGCGGGCACCCAGTTTTCTGGACCAAGGAAGAAAACTACATCTTCAGGCTTTCCCAGTTCCGGGAGCCGCTTCAGCGGTGGCTGCGGGCCGACCCCCGAGCGATTACCCCCGAGCCATTCCATCATGCTGTCCTTCAGTGGCTGGAGGAGGAGCTGCCCGACCTCTCCGTGTCTCGGAAGAGTAGCCACTTGCACTGGGGCATTCCCGTGCCCGGGGACGATTCCCAGACCATCTACGTATGGCTAGATGCCCTGGTCAACTACCTCACTGTAATTGGCTACCCAAATGCTGAGTTCAAATCTTGGTGGCCGGCCACTTCTCATATCATAGGTAAGGACATTCTCAAATTCCATGCCATCTATTGGCCTGCCCTCCTCTTAGGGGCCGGCATGAGCCCGCCACATCGCATCTATGTCCACTCCCACTGGACAGTCTGTGGCCAAAAGATGTCCAAGAGCTTGGGCAACGTGGTGGATCCTAGGACTTGCCTTGACCGCTACACTGTGGATGGCTTCCGCTACTTTCTTCTTCGGCAGGGCGTCCCCAACTGGGACTGTGACTACTATGATGAAAAGGTGGTTAAGTTGCTGGACTCTGAGCTGGCAGATGCCTTGGGAGGTCTCTTGAACCGATGCACTGCCAACAGAATAAATCCTTCGGGGACCTACCCGGTCTTCTGCACTACCTGCTTCCCCAGTGAGCCAGGGTTGGTGGGGCCGTCGGTTCGTGCTCAGGCAGAGGATTATGCTCTGGTGAGCGCAGTGGCCACTTTGCCCAAGCAGGTAACAGACCACTATGATAACTTTCAGATATATAAGGCCCTAGAAGCACTGTCCAGCTGTGTCAGGCAAACGAATGGTTTTGTCCAAAGGCATGCACCCTGGAAGCTGAACTGGGAGAACCCCGTGGATGCTCCCTGGCTGGGTACTGTGCTTCATGTGGCCTTGGAATGTTTGCGAGTCTTTGGGACTTTGTTGCAGCCTGTCACCCCAAGCCTAGCTGACAAGCTGCTGTCTAGGCTGGGGGTGTCTGCCACAGAAAGAAGTGTTGGAGAGCTCTATTTCTTGCCTCGATTCTATGGACATCCATGTCCTTTTGAAGGGAGGAAGCTGGGACCTGATACTGGGCTTTTGTTTCCAAGACTGGACCAGTCCAGGGCTTGGCTGGTGAAAGCCCACAGGACCTAGAAACTCAGTTCTTACTGGCTTGTGGTAAAACAAACAAACAAGTTATTTTGATTTCAGGAAAGTTATACTAGTGTTTTCTCGAGTGTTGCGTCAAATGAGCACATAAGCTGTGTCCCTGTGAAGAGAGGTGAACTGCCTTTCAGGTGCCTGTTCCCTATTCTTCATCTCTCTGTGCCCACTGACCACTGACCACTGTCCCTTTGTACACTCTGTCTGTCTCCAGGGAAAAGATGGGTAAGAGACAATGTTGCGAATGTGATTCTTTTTCTTTGTGTCTCCTTCCAAACCTCAGTTATGTTATTTGCCCAAGCTACCTCTCATGGCTTTTCATTGGCCTCCTCTGCTTCTCAGGCTAATTAGTGCAATGACTCTTACTGAGAGTGGGGGCTGGAGGCCCCTGCCTCAGCTTTTACTGGGTAGTCCACTTCGTTGGGTCTATTAAAAAGAGATTCTTTTATTAAACCTTTAAAACCCAGATGATTTTTGCCAATGTTCATCCCTACTTTGTTAGTTAATAGTCCAACCGTTGTGTTGTATAATGTTACACTTTAATCAGTAGATGGCTCTGATCTCACACATTTAATTACTAAAGATGGAGGTTTCAGAATGTTTGGAATAAATTAGTTTTCTGCTTTCTAATTTTGCAGATCTTTAAATTTCTGTTGCGTTTCTTAAAATAAGGGATAACTGCAACCACTGCTGTTTTAACAGAAAGCAATAAAAAACTATCAGAATCCTCATTTTTTTAGACTACTAAAAATAACATTTACTCTTTACATGGTTAGTAAGCTAAAAGTTAATGTATCATTTGTTTATAGATAAATTATAAGCTCTTAAAGTACTTGGTATGTTAACATTTTAATTTAAACATAAGGTTACAGGTACGATTTTTAAAAATCTGTAAATAATTCAAAAGGGCAGTATTTTCTTTATGTGTCTTATAGTCTTAATTTTGTTATCCTCATATATCATTTACCTCATATGATTTGGCCAATCAAGATCTAAAATACAGTATAGAAATTGTTTAGTTTTCTTAAATGTTGATGCATTTACTTTCAAGTAACTTAAACATTATTTCTTTTGTTCTTTTAAGTTATTAAAGCTTGAAAGTTTGTAAGTACCTTATTTGGATCTGTTCTGTTGAATTTGTTGAAGGTGATGGTGAAGGGAAGAAATGATCAATGCTCCGGGAATCTCAAACTGGATTTAGGGATCACTTCAAGGCTCCATAAGAGAACATCACAGAGAAGATGTTATCAATTTATACAGTGACTACAACATAGTAAGCCAGCATTATATCTCATAGGTGATTGAACAGCTAGGCCAAAGTTTAAAATGAGAACTTGACTTGGGATATCCATTCTAAGTATGGTAACAAGTAGAGAGGGCTCACTGTGAAGTAAATGATTGTTGGTAGTTCCCCCAGATTTGTTCTAGGTGCCACCATTCGGCTTCAGTTTCTGCTTATTAATCAGTGAAATGAGGATTTTCAGTTGCTTGGAAACACTGCTTAGAAAAGAATGTTTGAAGGCATCCTAAACACGGAAGGACTATTTCCACAAATGTTCCTTCAGTCCTTTCCTATTTATAATTCTGGAGTTTCCATATGACATATTTAGTTAACTGCTGGGATAGCTGGGGCATAGGATGAAGCGTAATATCTCCTAGGGCTGGATAGAGCAGAGTGGTGCAAGATGGGATGTGTTTGCATGGATGAAGGAAAATCAATTTGGAAAACCGGTGGGATGATAACCTCTGCCTTTGAGGTGCCTGTATAGCAGTGATACAGTTCCTATCATGGAAACAGTATCTCCTACTTAAATGATCTTTCCTGTGGCCTAGGGCAGGTCAATACAATGGGCTTTCTTGGCTTGATGGAAGATGTTAATGCTCTTTCTGTGCAGTCTGTCATTTGGGTAGGCACTTAACTGTCTACCTGGATATTTGGTACTGGAGAGCACAAGAAAGTAGGGGAACCAGGTAGGACAGGGCATAATTATTTACAGAAGACAGGATATTCTGAGTGGAGGAGTGTGGTAAGTTTGCTGTAATTTGTGTGTTAATATGGAAGATGAACCAGTTGGGTGCTCTGTAGTAGGCACAATAGGTACTTTGGGTACTCAGTTGATGTGTTCAAGTTGATCCAGCAGTTTAAGAATGGCAAATAAAGAACAGGTGAAATTTGAAACTGGAGGGCATGCATTTCCAAGAGGGGCATCCTAACCACTTCTGGGAGAAGATGATAAACTTTAAGAATGCCACTGCTTCAGAACTGTCAGTACCTTATCTGGCCATCTTTTGGATCTCTTGAATTGAATGTAAATTTCCTCCAAATACTACCTTCGAAGTTCTCAAATATTCGTTTTGGTGAATACTTGGAGGCAGTACTACAGGTGGTGATAGAGTACTGCATAAATCAGGTGTTCATGGGATATCACATTAGAAGAGTAATAGCAAGATGTCAACTCAGTAGACTACAATCTTATCTGTGAAGTCATGTAAGAAGTAGTAGACAATGTATACAATGTATACAATGTAGACAAGTGTATACTGTATACTGGAGAACTATTCCACAAGTGAACTCATAGATTAGATACCTCAGCAATCAGAAGACCTGTTGCTACAGACAGAAGCAAGAAATAGATACAACCTACAACCTGATATCATTGAAACCTCACAATTATTCTGCATGTCGGTCTCATTATTATTCTTAAGGACCTTGGACTATAGGGGTTGTGAAGAGCCCAATAAATTGAATATGAAGTTGATGCCAAAATACTTCAAAAGGCCTAGGCTGCAACATGATCCTAGGGTACAGGTTTTTCCCTCCTTTCCCCCAAGGTTGTACTTGTAATTGGGACATATCTGGTAAATTCTAAACCAAAGTGAAGCCAGTAGCTGGTCAGGGTGTGAACCTCCACTGAGGATAACTTATAATCATGACAGTACCAAGCATTCAACAGGTTCCTCTTTGGGCCTTATGGTAGAGAAGGCTTCCTGGATCTCTGACTGCCCTACCTCTACTGGGTATGTATCGGCAGTGTTGACCAGTGGTAGTATAACCTTGAGTTACGGAGGAGGCTAGGCCTCCTAAGACTTGGTCCATAAAGCTGCTATATGATAAACTGTAATTGCCTCTTAGAGGCAAAATACCTTACTATTCAGGTAACAGAACATCTCTTCTTATTGGTGAAGCCTGGGGTGCTGTAAACCTTGGTGGATCCTTGCCTTGTCTTTTGGAACAGAGTGAATGTCAGTGGACCTAAAAGGGTATGGACATATCAAAAGCCATCTGTGTATTTTTGTAGCAAAGGTTTACTAGTTGAGGGAGCCTGTGGAGAGTTAGAGCACAGAGGTAACCAAGAGCACAGGTTCTAGAAGAAAGCCCTTGAGTCCTCTATAAAACTAAGATAGTATAAAAATGTCATTTGCAGCATAATACAACTGGCCCTGTCAATTCCTCTTGCAGGAGCTTTTAATAGGGTTGGTTAACTCTTATCAAGAGGAACACACCAAATGTGGAAGGGCCACAACAGTGACAACCACGTTAATTAATGTTAATTAGTGGGGAGTTTAATCTTTCAAGAAGAGTGTCTTATTCTTTCTGAAAAGAAGAGGATGGAAGTCCAGCTTATGCACCTTCCTGTATCACCAGTAACTACTTTGAGCAGAGGGAAAGAGACTAACCAATTTAAAGGTGAAATTGGCTTCTTTTCTTTAATAGGCAGTCTTGGGTTACCCAGAATAGGTCCTCTGAATTAAGGAAACCACCTAACAGGAAACGGTTAACCATATTTAAATACTCTATTTAGGATTGTATCACATTAATCAGTTTCTACTTATATTTTCATGATGAGGGAAGGGAACTAGGTAGACCTATACACCAAGAGGATCTTCCTATGGCCCTGACAACTGGAAATAATGTATCTTCTAATGTGTTGCTTAATGAGTAGCTCTTGGGAGGTTCAGCCGTACCTGGATCTTCACCAAGGTGAGCAAAGCTATGGTATAGAAGTTTCATCCTTGGCCATAGCCTGAATTTCACCCCTTTTTAGCTTATGGCAGTTTACTCACCAGATTTTAAAGTCCACAGCTCCTCACTTAAGAACAGGATGGTGTGAGATGTCAGGATGTTTCAGGAAACAAGTGTGTCATCTGCAAGAAGAAAATTATAGCTCCAAGGAGAGATGAATCCTGCCCTTGACTCATTAAGGATCTCTGGATAAAACATCTGCAGAGGGTCACCTGAAAGCCTCAATGGATAAGCTGGAGGGACAGCTCTAGGAATAACTGGGGAAAATGGTACTAACCTCCCTATGCTACCACTCTTAAGGCTGTGCCTTGTGGATGTACCCTTATTGGTTGAGAATCACTGGTTTATGGGATTTAACATGACCACAAACTTTCAAAAGCTGTATTAGGATTGTTATAGGTTGGAATCACCATGTAATCCTTTTAATTCAATACATTCCATAAAAAATATGACTGTTTACACTTTTTGGGGGGAATACATTAAACAGTTTTAGTAGTTTGGCTTCTTTTGAACCAGTCTAGATGCTTCTATTGCTTAGAGAGTTAAAGATATTAAAAACATAAAATAAATAATCATGTTATACATTTTAATCACTAAAATACATTCTATTTGTTTGAAGCCAGATGAAAAGAAAGGTTAAAGAAAACCCAACAGAAGATAGGAAGGAGAAAAAAAGAAAAATATGATATACAGAAAACCCACAATAAGCAGAAATAAATACAAATATGTCAGTTATTGTAATAAAATATGTTAAAATATAATAAAAACTTCATATGATGAACCTCTGTCAAAAAACAAAAACGTTCAAGGTTAAATTTAGAAAGCTAGCTATGTATGTAGTTAAAAAGGATATATTAAACAGTAGAAAATACGTATCAAGAAGCATTAGGCATATATAAACCAAAAGAAGAGGGTATGGTAATACTAATATTACATAATTAATCTATATTGAGGGAAAAATCATTACTAAAGTCAAACTTAATACAAAAGGAAATAATGAATTGAGTTAAAACAGTTAAAAGTCAAACTTGTATAATCTAACAACATAGCCTCAAATGTAAACAATATAGCTTCAAAATGTAAAAAGCTAATGTATGACAAGAAATGTACAAGTCTGCAAAAAAAAAAAAAAACCCAAACCAAAAAAACCACCACTTACGAGTTCAGAGAAATGATGCATAGAGGAAGTAAAAATATAACAACTCATGCAAGACATTAAATTTCAGTCTTTAATGCTTACTACTAAGTGTATCATTACTGCTAAGTGTGGAAAACAAAATTGTAACAGGCAAGGTTTTGTGACTCTAAAACTTTGTCTTTTTCTATGCATGTCTCTGTGAACATAACAACTTGCTTTTTAAATAGAACTGTCAGCCAAATATACCTGTTTAGTAGCTCCTACTAATTGGTTATTATTATTATTATTATTATTTTTGAATTGGAGTCTCTCACTTTGTTGTCTAGGCTGGAGTGCAGTGGCACACTCATGGCCAGTACAGTCTCGACTTGCTGGACTCGGGTGATCCTTCTGCCTCAGCCTTCTAAGTAGCTGGAACTACAAGCACATGCCACCATGCCCGGCTAATTTTTTGGTATTGTAGAGATGAGGTCTCACCAAGTTGCCCAGGCTGGTCTCAAACCTGTGGGCTCAGGCAATCCTCTCATCCCGGCTTCCCAAAGTGCTGGGATTATAGGTATGAGCCACCATGCCCGGCTTCGATTGGTTATTAAAAGGGGAGAATCCTATGACCATAATTTGCCGAGTTTTCTAATTGTGAGCTCAGTAATACATGAACTTGAGAGAAGAGAACCAATAGTTCTGTGTTCCTTATTTGTGTTCTCTCATTTATTTTTTCCATCAACCCAATAAGGTATCATTCTTTCTGTGTTGAATGAGAAACTGAGGCACAGAGAAATTAGGTAACTTGGTAGGGTTACACAGCTTATAAAAAACAGAGCCTAGACTCAAACTTGTCTCAATGCCAGAGTCTTAGCACCACCTATAGTACAAGCACCACAATCAATCAATGAGTATATACTGAAGGCACTGTTTTAAGTATTGTGGGAAAGAAGAAATAGCATAATTA